CTATCTATCTACCTACCTACCTATCTACCTACCTACCTATCTACCTACCTACCTATCTACCTACCTATCTACCTACCTACCTATCTACCTACCTATCTATCTACCTATCTACCTACCTATCTATCTACCTACCTATCTACCTATCTACCTACCTACCTATCCATCCATCCATCCATCCATCCATCCATCCATCCATCCATCCATCCATCCATCCATCCATCCATCCATCTATCTGTCCATCTACCTATCAGGTAGGTTGACACGTAAAAGGAATTTGACTTGGTGTACAAAAAGACACAGCCCTAAATATCCTTCATCATTCTGGACAGGAAGGGGAGATTAGATCACGGATCAATAAGAACGATTCATCACAAGGCTGCATATGTATTGACTTATGATGTGTCCATTCATGTATGGAAAAAACGTTTTACATATAGGATAAATAAACCAAAATGGATGCCTTGAATCGGATGAGATTCAAGGCAAAATTCTGTGTCATAATATTGATAATAAGGGAGATTATAGTAAAAACATAAATACGATTTATTAATGTTTTTTTATTTATTTATATAGTTTTTTTGCATAAAGAAAATTAATTCATTAATACAAACTAAAAAAGACACAACCTTAAATATAAATATACCAATACATTCAAAATATGTATATAATTATGTATAATATTAAAGGGGGTTTGATACAAAAATTAAAACTGTGAAAGATTTTTAAATGAATTATTTTAATGTATTTTTCTTTAATTTATATGTGATTTTCTTTAATTACAAAAACAGCCCAAAATAATATTATAATAAAGATTTGAAAATAAATTAAAATTAAAATAAATAATATAGGAGGATTTGATAAAAAGTAAAATATTTAAATATATTAAAAAAATATATATTATACAAATAAACTGAAAATAAATTTAAATTCACGTAAACACTAACCACACTAAGGGGTTATCATACAACTCAAAACACAGACAGATTTAGGTATTAAAGGCTTCATATATTTTCACAACATATATCGTTTTGCTCACCAGACACACTCTCCCCACTCGGGCCAAGACGCTGGGGCTCGCCCCCCCCGCTGGAGTCTAGACTCTTCTCACGGAAGAAGAAGTAGAGCTTGTCGTCGTTTCTTTCTGCGCTGTCAGGGATCTTCTGGATCTGAACAAACACGGGCTCTGAGGAGCAAACACAAGGCGGGCTCAGAAGGGATTCAGGCAAGTGGCTGTGAGAGGAGCGGTAACCTGTAATCAGAACCGTTTAGATCAGGGGTGTCCAAACTACGGCCCGGGGGCCAAATGCGGCCCGCGGACCATTTTGAATCGGCCCTCAGCAAATGTAAAAGGTATAATGACTAAAGTATAATAAACTTCTGCTTGCCTTATATTGTACTTCTTAAATATATATTTTCAAATATATTACACAGTATTCATGTGTTAATAATCACCATTTTTCAAATAAATACAGTCGATTAAAGTTGAAAACATGTTCTAACAAATCTAAGTTGATAATAAAAAAGCTCAATGACTTATTTACATAACCAGCTTGAAATCTACCCTTCATATTTCCTCTTATTATAATCAATCTGAAGCTTCTGTTTTAAGGAATGAGCTGCTAACAAGATAAAGTAAACCCCTGTTTTTTTCTTACAGCATTTTCAAGTATCGAGAATAATTTACCTACATTTGATTGACTTTTCTAACTCATAACTGAACTTATGAGGCAGTATACCTCTAGGGAGTGGCCCAGCCCTTCGTATATGTTGTTCTGTATGTGTCCCTCGGTCCTGTACATATGTGGGATGATTCCATTTAAATCCTCTATTTTAACAAGATATCATTTGCATATCTAAGCGTAATCCTTCAGAAAACTTGTAATATGCAAAATTATTGTGTAATTATCAACTGTTTTATGGTGTTATCTTTCAGTAAAGAAATGCTATTCACTTGTCTCCCTTTCAGCATTTCCCCATCTTTCTGTGTCTTGTTGGTACAAAACCTTTTAGATAAATGGGCCAACGTACTCCTAGAGTAATTGTGAAAGTTTGGACCCCCCTGGTTTACCTCCTCACCCTCACTGACTCACCGTTCAGCCAGCGGGAGTCGTACTGCTCCGTCCGGATGGCCGTCCGGCCGCCCATCGTCCTGAACAGAGCAGCGTCCGTGCTCATGAAGTCGATGTGGACGCCAGCGTACAGGTTACCGTCTGCACAGGGAGAAGATTGGGGAGATTTTGAGCATTTTCCGAAAAATTATATTTAATTTGGTCGACACTTTTGAGTGAAAACAAAACCACTCCGGCCTCGTTATCTCCGATTGTACGACCCCTCCCTTCCTTTCCCTTTCATTCATCCATTGGCATTCCTAAGTCAATTTCACCCAAAAGTCTACTTCTCTTTGACCCTTTATCCCCCCCCCCATCCCTACATCCCTTGACCAACCATACATTCATCCCTTTCTCCCTACATCCCTTCAACATTCCCTCCCTATATCCCGTCATCCCTTCCTCCCTACTTACCTTCATTCATCCATTCGTCTTTCTACACCTTCATCCTTTCATCCCTCCTGTCACTACCCGATCTGCCGCCATGCCCTATCTGCAGTGCGCATGTGCGAGATGGTCCGCCATATTGGAGAACTCCGCACGGCAACCCAAGTAGGACACTTGACACAGTGGCTTTTGGCAAAGCACAAAAAGAAAACTTGAGAGAGATGAGTTATTGTTATTACAACGTGACTTCACTATTATTATTATTGGGTTCTTTTATTTGGGGTTAAGTACATTGTCAGAATAAGTAAGAAATGGATTTAACTTCTGTTAGACAACCCCAAATAAAAGAACCCAATAAAAAGAGTTGTTAAATAATAGTGAAGTCACGTTATAATAACAATAACTCATCTCTCTCGAGTTTTCTTTTTGTGCTTTGCCAAAAGCCACTGTGTCAAGTGTCCTACTTGGGTTGCCGTATGTAGTTGTCAAATATGGTGGACCATCTCGCACATGCGCACTGCAGATAAGGCAGGGCTGCAGATCGGGTAGTGACACCTCCCTCCCAACATCCCTCCCTTCATCCATTCAACTCTCATCCTTCTTCACCCTTAAATTCATTGGGGCTTCACATCCAATACCTTCTCTAATTCAATCTTAACCCAACATATTGTTGTGGTTTGATCCTTGCTTGTGAACATTAAATAAGCCAAACCTTTGTAAGTGCTTCATACAGAAACAAGAGGCTTCTTCTTCTAAATGAAATACAATGAAGTCTTACTGATCAGAACTGCGATGTTCTCCTGTTTTGGATCATAGGAGCATTTCCCCTTCCCTGAATCCACGTACCCGGGCACCAGCCTGAACAGGTAGTCCTGCAGAGCAGAGCATGCATGGAAATAGAAAACACGTCACATGGGAGCACGGGGGAAATCACAAACTAATCAGTGTCCCAGTTTGTAGCGCTGAAATATTTAGCAGGACACCGCTTCTCCGCCTGCTGTAAAGCCACTCAGGGGAAGCTGTAATGTTCACCTCCGCCTTCCAGCCTCTGTTGATGAAGGTGCAGATGGGCTGGTACGCCCCCGTGCCGCAGGTGTACAGGTGGGTGCGGTTCCACGGCTCGATCATACGCACGAAGTTGGCACATTCACCCTGCACAAGGAGGACAAAGAGGACACAGACCAGACATTGTATCGTCCTGAAAGCAGAAGTCTGAGATGTGTGAAAGAACAGGATGTTACAGACGTGATCCCACCTGTCTTCCCTTTCCCGTCATCTGACATTCTCCCTTTCTCTTCGCAGACGCTGGCCAGTGGATCTGAGTTTTTGGAAAAACAGGATCATTGCATTTACAGAGTTATAGCGAGACATAGGCGAACCGAGACATAGACAAGAAAATATCCACATTCAGGAGCTTATTTAACTTTGTCTTCGTAGATTCCTTCTATATTCAACGAAAGTACGCATTAGATTTTAAGACATTAGCTCAGTCTGTAGGGATTAGTTTTGGAAACTAGAAGGTCGGGGTTCAAGTCCAGAATCGGAGCAAGGATTGGTACTTTGAGAGGTGACAACCTGGACCCTATATTACAATCTTTAGATAAGTGGGCAGCAATATAATCTTACAGTATGATTCTGCACCGTCAATGCCAGTCCAGTAAAAGTGGAAGTAACTCTTGACGGCCACATATCTCTCTCTGGATTAAAGGAGAATCAAAGCAGGTGGGAGTTTTGTACGCACGATGAGCGGCTCCTTGTTGACGTTGTGCATATCCAGAGCCACCAGGTACTCCCGGCTGCCCAGGTACAGCCGGCCCTGGTCCTGGTCCATCAGCAGGATGCGGTAGTCGCTGGTGTTGAAGGAGAAACTGAAGGGCCGCGCCGCCCTGGTGTCCATCAGCTCTGTGAGGGGAGGGAGGAACATCTTAAGACATTTGGAAGACCAACGACAGAGGGAGATTAGATTTACTGTAATGATCCTAAAAGGGGAAATAGTTTGGGCATGGCAGCATGTTACAAAGCACTGAACATGACTTGAGATAAAAAGAAAATAAACAGTAATTATATTCATGTTTGATATTGTAGTTATTATATTTGTTCTATTCTATTTTTTTCGCAAAACCACATTTCAATGGGATGAATTAATTATTCTGATTCTGATGGACACAAATAGTACACACATATATATATATCTAAAGAGTCAAATACAATTTAAATGAACATAAAGAGTTACAATAAAATGTCCCATAAATCATAAAATAAAAATATTTATTTAAACAGAAATGTAAAGTAAGAATGTGCAATAAATAATACAATTAAATACAATAAAAATGTCTAATCAACATAAGAAGATAAGAAGAGGAGTAAAATGGCAAAGACATGATCAAATAAAATAGAAACAAATTATTTGTATCCATTAAAGGTGGTGTAGGTCATTTTGGAGAAAGCAGCTCGAGATCGCTAGAATTTGAAAATACACAGCCGGAACAAATCTGCCACTTCCTCACAGAGCCCCTCCTCCAACACACACGAACGCGCACATGACCAATGAGGGCACGAGATAAGTTTGTGCCCAGACGGAAGGCTGACAGGCAGGTAGGCCATCCAGTTACTTTAGCCGGGCCGGCTCAGATGATTGGTTGTACTTTTTACAGTATTACGGCTTCCACAGATAACATTTTGTTATGGATTTTTGTCAAAGCAAAGCACTTAATATATTTATTGCTATCGGGATGTTAAGAGCATTCCATGGAATATAACAAAAAGTGTATCTCGAGCCGGTTTCTCAAACGTACCTACCCCACCTTTAAATGATTTAATACAATTGTAGAAAAGTAGAAATGCACATTGTACTATATATACCAAGTATAACCCAATATATACACTTATATAAGTATTAATAGGTTATTAATTCTGAATTGCTCAGTTATTAAGGGTTTGACTGATGATGTGCCATAAGGTGGTCAATCCCCCCAGAGATCTTTGTCTTTCTTGACGTGCTAAAATGTTGTTTGGAATAATTGAAAGACACGAGGTGACCTGCAGTCCATTTGTGTCGCAGCAGATGAAAATTGTTCAAGCATAGCTTTCAGGAGAACACAGCGAGAGAGAGAGAGAGAGAGAGAGAGAGAGAGAGAAGGGAGCAAGGTTTTCCTCCGGCGGCGTGTCCTAACAGGCCGCGCTCGGCTGAACACAATCCTGACTCCTGAATAACTGGAGTTGCACTGACCGTGTTTTCCTAAGGGACGCCGCGGCCCGCTAACTCCACCCGGCATGTGGCTTAAACCCAATCAGCCGGTCAGGACGCATGAAATATTGAGACCTTAAGAGCGAATATGTTTCTTAAAAAGCTGTAAGTTGAGTTATATTTAATAAGTGGCACACATTCTGCAGAGGAAGTGTTGCTCAGGGGACCGTGAGTTCATCCGAGTCAGCGATGAAACATGTTAAAGGCAGAGAGGGGATAATGGGAGGGGTGTGTGTGAGGTGTTCTCATGTTTGTTCCTCTCAGGACTCCACGTGCTCTGTGTTTTGTTTTTATGTGGACCTTACAGTTCTGCCTCGTGTTGTTATTGTATCCATGTTTCTGTGGTCTTCATTTTAACTTTTGTTCTTTCTTGTGAAGCACTTTGTGAAAGGTGCTATACTAAGTAAACATATTATTACTACCTTAGTTTCCTTTCTTTAACGACACTTTCCTTCAATTACCCTGACCAGTTTATGCAGATTGAACTCTACCTCGTGGTATTTACATTTAATGGGGCGAAGCCTGCGAGCTAGTTCAGTCAACTCGAGCACCAATGATACATTAACACGTGACGCGCCTCGTCCCTCTTACAACCAACCAAACACATTCTCCTAAACATGACGTGCTATTTAAGCTGCCAGGTCTTCCTGCCTCTGCCTCGCTCATGCTGCTGCTGCTCGCCTGCCCCCCCACCACCCCAGCTTCCACCACAGCTTCCACTCCAGCTTCCACCGCAGCTTCCACCCCAGCTTCCACCCCAGCTTCCACTCCAGCTTCCACTCCAGCTTCTACTCCAGCTTCCACCCCAGCTTCCACTCCAGCTTCCACCCCAGCTTCCACTCCAGCTTCCACTCCAGCTTCCACCCCAGCTTCCACTCCAGCTTCCAATCCAGCTTCCACTCCAGCTTCCACCCCAGCTTCCACCCCAGCTTCCACTCCAGCTTCCAATCCAGCTTCCACTCCAGCTTCCACCCCAGCTTCCACTCCAGCTTCCACTCCAGCTTCCACCCCAGCTTCCACTCCAGCTTCCACCCCAGCTTCCACTTCAGCTTCCCACTCCAGCTTCCACTCCAGCTTCCACTCCAGCTTCCACCCCAGCTTCCACTCCAGCTTCCACCCCAGCTTCCACTCCAGCTTCCACCCCAGCTTCCACCCCAGCTTCCACTCCAGCTTCCACCCCAGCTTCCACTCCAGCTTCCACTCCAGCTTCCACCCCAGCTTCCCACCTCAGCTTCCACTCCAGCTTCCACCCCAGCTTCCACTCCAGCTTCCACCCCAGCTTCCACCCCAGCTTCCACCTCAGCTTCCACTCCAGCTTCCACCCCAGCTTCCACCCCAGCTTCCACCTCAGCTTCCACTCCAGCTTCCACCCCAGCTTCCACCCACAGCTTCCACCCACAGCTTCCACCCACAGCTTCCACCCCAGCTTCCACCCCAGCTCCACCCACAGCTTCCACCCCAGCTTCCATCCCAGCTTCCACCCCAGCTCCACCCCAGCTTCCACCCCAGCTCCACCTGTAGGCTCGGGGGATAGTTATCTAATCATCCCTCAATGTTCTTTGTAAATCTGTGGAGTGATGAGGCTCGAGCCTAGACGCCAAACTCAAACTATAAGCTGCTTCTAATAAACATATTAAGAAACACGTGAGTTTAATTAAAACACTTCTACTAGTGTGAACACTTGGATAATGTGTATAGTATTCTATTTTTAACATGAATCAGAAAACCTTTATTTGAGGGGAAATGTACAATGTGACACAAGAGGTTTAATATGAATTAAGAAGCATGCATAACATTTTAAAGATGAAGATTGAAATCACACAAATTACAATCTACAAAATACACATCCAGTACCAGTAACAGGTTTTTTTTAAATAGGTGTAACATGTAGAAGTAGTGATTTTTTAAAAAGTGTATATATGTTTTAAGTAGTAAGTTGGTCTATTATAGTATATAATAATATAATATAATGGAGCAAGCACAGGAACTCCTGAACAGAGTGGAGTCAGAGTGTGCCAAGGTTGGCCTTAGGCTAAACATCAAGAAAACTGAGGTTATCACCTATAACATCTTACCAGAACATCCACCTCTGACAACAACAGAAGGCACTGTGCTTAAAGAAGTCAAGGACTTCAAGTACCTGGGCTCATGGGTCAACTCAACCGAGCAAGATCTTAAGGTGAGGAAGGCACTTGCATGGAGGGCCCTGAACGGCATGACCAGTGTATGGAACTCCAACCTCCTGCGTCAAATCAAACTCAGCTTCTTCTATGCAACGTTAGAGTCTGTTCTCCTCTATGGCAGTGAATGCTGGACCCTGAGGCCAACCCTGCAAAAGTCTCTTGACGGATGCTACACCAGAATAATGTGAGCAGTACTTAACATCAGCAAGAGTGTACATATAACCAACAACATCCTGTACGAGGGAATACCAAGGGTGAGTGAGAAAATTGCAGCCAGGAGAATGAGACTAGCAGGACATTGCCAAAGGCATCAAGAGCTGCCAGCCGGCAAATTGGTGCTGTGGGAACCAACACACGGGCATCGGTCATGAGGACGTCCCGCACAAACATACGTGGACGTACTCAAGAATGACGTAGGAGCACAAAGTACCAATGAACTGGCCGGATGTATGGAGAACTGGGATGACTGGAAGCGACGATGGAGGGCTCGTCTGAGGACGACCTAGAGAGATATACATGTTATAGTTTTTTTTAAATATCTATATATAATCAAAGCTCACCTCTTCAGGGCTGCTTTTAATATGTAATTAATGGTCATTTTAATATTTAAGTATGTTTTTTAAATTACGTTTTTATGAGTTTTTAAGTAAAATGTCTTTGAGTTTCAAGAAAAGAAACTTAAATCACAAACTAACAGCTTGTTTCAACCGCAGAAAACACCACAAATATGTGTTGCTATTTTTTTAAGCATCTTACTTTTAACATCTATTTATGAACACAGTTATATTTAAGCTTGTGTAGTTTGTATATTAAAATGCTATACTCTGTCAAATGTGCCATTATGTACATTGACAGTGAATTTAATCTTAGCGCCTTCTAAAAACATCTACTACATTACATTACACTGCATTTAGCTGACGCTTTTATCCAAAGCGACTTCCAATAAGTGCATTTCAAACATTTCAAGTGCTACTCAACTGGCTTTAGATAAGCCAGTCCTTTGTTAGTATATAAGTGCTTTGTTAGTAATCCTATCGCTCGAAGTGGAGTCGAAAGAGATGAGTTACTACTCTACAGACTTTGATAACGTATATAGTATTCTCCCCCTCATAGACCCTCACACACACAACAACTCGGACTATACCAACACTGTTGATCACTACATGTACTATGTTTACATTTTACTACTCGCTTTGCACAACACCTGTAACAACAATGCTGTCACATACAACTGTGAAATATATACTTTATATTGTGTAATATAGTATTTACTACTGTCATTCTGCAGCAGCTGCATTACTCAATGCTCTATAATGCTGATACTTGCCTTTTTATAATCTTGAAATGTGTAATTATTTAACATGTGTGCTCACTTCCTAAATACTGTTTACTTTAACTTGTTTTATCCTTGCACTTCTTGCACCTACTGTGTTTACAATGTTGTTTTTCTTTGTTTTTTGTGTCTGAACATG